AGAAATTAGCTGGCCAACTAAAAATAGAAAAAATTAGCCAGGTCTGGTGACACATGTCTGTAGTCCCAGCTATTGAGAGGCTGAAGCAGCAGGATTGCTTAAGACCAGGACTTTGAGGTTGCTGTGAGCTAGGTTGATGCCACGGCACTCTAGCCCAGGCAACAGAGCGAGACTCTGTCCCCCCCAAAAATAAATTTAAAAAATAAGGATGCTCATAATGCTTGCATTTTTAGGGCGTAGTGAGGTTGTATCATCAAACCAGTTTCCACACTTGCTTTTCTGGCTTTGGTTCAGTGTGTTACTTTTGTGAATGACCTCCTCCTTGGTCTTCTTATCCTTGTAGAAATCTTGAAGTATATAATATTTCCTACCCCCAACACCACAACTAAACATCCAGCATTTTAAAACTGTTTTCAGCCTGCCTTTCATCTACTTCATTCCTAGGTAGAATTTCTTTGTACCTAAATGATAGAAACTAAGTGGGTGTAAGATCTTTCAGCTGTGACATACCTCCATCGATATTTTTGCGTTACTGTTTTTTATGAGCTTGTTGATTTTTGGTTTTTTGCTGCCTTTTCGAATACATTTAATAGAGCAATACATGGCCTCTACGCACACAGGTTTTGATATATACCATTTTAATTTTTATTCTGCTTAAATGTTTTCTAATTTCCAATGTTAGTTCATTGGCTTATGGGCTTTTTAGAGATTTATTTTACAACTTTCCAGTGCTGGATAATTTTCTATTTATCTTTTTGTTCTTCTTTATTTGCACTGTGATTGCTGAATATTCTCTGCATTATTTCAGTCTTTTGAAATTTGTTGCCTTATTGTCAGTTTTTATAAATGTTTTTAGTTGCAGGTTTTTTTTAAGTTTTTTTTTGTTTTCGTTTGCTTGTTTGAGACAAGGTCTCACTCTGTTGCTTAGGCGAGAGTGCAGTGGAATCATCATAACTCACTGCCGCCTCCAGCTCCTGGGCTCAAGTGATCCTCCTGCCTCAGCCTCCCTTGTAGCTGGGACTGCAGGTACTCACTACCACGCCTAGCTAATTTTTTTTATTTTTCTTAGGGATGTGGTCTTGCTATTGCCCAAGCCAGTTTCCAACTCCTGGCCTCAGGCAATCCTTGCTTTGGGCCTCCCAAAGTGCTAGGATTACAAGTGTGACCCACCATACCTGGCCTACATTCTATATATATATATACATTTTAGGTCAGGTTTGTTAATTATTAATATGTTCACACCTTTGTGTGTGTGTGTGTGTGTGTGTATACACACACGTGGGGTTTTTTGCTTATTTAGACTTACTGAGATCTATATTAAAATTTCACAGCATAATAGTGGATTTGTCATTTTTACCTTATTTTTTTTAAGTTTTATACTCTTTTTAATTGATAAATAATAGATATATTTATGGGGTACAGTGTGATGCTTTGATACACATTTACATTGTGGAGTGATCAAATCAGGCTGATTAACATATGCATCACCTCAGATACTTATTATGAAATGTCTCCTTTTGTCTCTACTAAAGCTTTTATGTCAAAGTCTACTTTATCTGACATTAACATAGCCACATCAGCTTTCTTTTGGTTTGTGTTTGCATAGTGTGCATTTTTCCATCCTTTATTATTCAGTGTTTCCCCCTCTGTTAGCTTCGTAGTTATATACTTTTTTACTCTGCTTTTCCTAAGTCAGAAATTACAAGATGCATTCCTTACCTGTCAGGTCTGCTGCTGTGGTTTCATGGGCAGTGCGAGTAACCTGGGGCACCTTAATAGCTTCACTTAGCCTTCTCCAGACTTGTATTCTGTTATGTAATATTCCATAATATATTTTAATTCGTTGTGTATTTTAAACTTCATGGAATATTAATGTTACTGTTTTATACAGTCAGCATTTATGTAGATTTACCCACATATTTCCTGTTTTCATTGGTTTTCCTTCTTTCTTGCGTCTGAAAGCATCCACCTGGAATCATATCCCTTTTCTCAGTGGATTTCATTCATTGTAAGTCTGCTGGAGAGTAATTTTCTTCATTTTTATTTCTCTGAGAATGACTTTATTTTTACCTCCTTTTAAGAACTATTTTTGCTGGGTTTAGCTCTGGGGAACCTGTGGCCTCAAGGCCACATGTGGTCCTCCAGATCACCAGGTGCGGCCCCTGGACTGAATCCAAACTTAACAATGTTAAAAGGATTTGTTCTGGGGCCGGGCGCTGTGGCTCACGCCTGTAATCCTAGCTCTTGGGAGGCCGAGGCGGGCGGATTGCTCAAGGTCAGGAGTTCGAAACCAGCCTGAGCAAGAGCGAGACCCCGTCTCTACTATAAAATAGAAAGAAATTAATTGGCCAACTGATATATATATATAAAATTAGCCGGGCATAGTGGCGCATGCCTGTAGTCCCAGCTACTCGGGAGGCTGAGGCAGAAGGATCACTCGAGCCCAGGAGTTTGAGGTTGCTGTGAGCTAGGCTGACGCCACGGCACTCACTCTAGCCTGGACAACAAAGCGAGACTCTGTCTCAAAAAAAAAAAAAAGGATTTGTTCTGTAAAATTTGGATTCAGTCAAAAGGTCTCACTCAAAGATCCAGAAGGCCACATGTGGCCCCAAGGCTGCAAGTCCCCCACCCCTCTTTTTCCTGACTGCTTCAAGACTTTATCTTTGTCCCCCACCCGGCCAGTTTTGCCCTGGTGTGCATAGGTGCATGGGTATGGTTCTGTTTTTTTTTATCTTGCTGGTAGTTCTCAAGGGTCTTCGATCTGTGACTTTATATTTTTTGCTAGCTTTGGAAAATGCTCAGTTGTCCTCTTGCTTGTATGTCTTAAATACTCGCCTTTCTTTCTATGACTCTGGTTATTCATACGTCATGTTCTCACTGTATCTTCTGTGATTCCTTCCCTCCTAGCTTCATCCTTTTTACTCTTAATGCTTCGTTATGGGTATATTTTCAGGCCAATCTTTACTTTTCTAATTCTTATTGCTGTCCAATCTGTTATTAAACCCATCAGTTGGCTTTTTAATTTCCATAATTGTATTTTTCAGTTCTATAATTTTTATTTCATTTTTTGTTAGTGTTTCTTTGCTGAAATTGTTAGTTTTGTCTTTTTCCCTATATATATAATGCATCACTGAAGTGGACCAAATCTGGCTAGTGAGCTAAGAATGATGTTTACATTTGTAAAGGATCATTAAAAAAAAAAAAAAGAAGAAGAAACCAAGGGAAGTATACAGCAGAGACTGTAGCCTGCAAAGTACAAAATATATATTCTTTCATCTTCTACAGAAAATGTTTGCCAATGCCTGTTATATATATAAAATTATTTTAGATAGATATATATAGAGATACTTATCTGTATATATGGATCTTTACATATATAACATTATTTTAGAGTCTGTCTGATTAACTGTTACTTAAAGGTTCTCTGTTTCTAGAGTTTGTTATTTCTCCCAGTTTTCATCAGTGCCATCTTGTCTCCTTATTATGCCTGGTTTTATTTGAATAGAGGATGTTGCATATGCAAAATTTTTTAAATAATTTGAGGCCTAGGATGATTTTTTTCTGTAATGAGGAGTTGTGTTTCTTCTAACAATTGACTGAAAGCACTAGCAACCCTGTATAACCTTAATCCAGCATCAGATATTGTGAGGGGATTCTAAAATCAGCATTAATTTACATTTGGTCACATTTACTCTTAGAGTATAATTTACTCTCCAGGGTCCCAATCTAAATATGGCCCTTCCATTCTAGCCCTTGAGATTTGGGTTTCCTCCTTTTAGTCAGTGGCTTTCAGAAGTGCTTCTCAGCCTATTGGCCTCCTCTTTAGGGTTCAAAAATATTCTTAGGAGTAAAAACAACCTCAAAGTTCAGATACTGTGTGTGTAGTTTGTGTGTTTATATGTGTATATCCAGATTTTCAGTTTATCTTAGGGTTCATCTGAATTACCTAACCCACCATTATCAGCAGGGGAATTTCGTGATGTAGTTTCTTTTTATGAAGTTTTCATAATTATAGTAACCCTCTTGAGATAATATAATTCAGACTTGACTGTTTTCTCCTTTAGAGTATATTTAATTTACACTGTGTGTGTTTCTTTAATGTTTTCCTATAGTAAAGCAATGAGAAACCCTGTTTTAAAAATTAAATTGATTTTTCTTAATGGTTCTGAATAGCAAGTTGCAGAGAAATTATTTGGAAAATATATACGCATACCTCCTATGTAAAACTTTACACTGGAACACAGTGTTTGTTTCTTAACTCCTATAGCATTTATTTTGTGAGATGTCTGTTTTTTGTGGCTTGAAATGTATCGTACAACCTGTGTTGCTGATAAGAATGCGGCCATATTAAAAATGGGGTGGTGGAGCCGTTTCCTTCTTGTGTTTCTTGTGTCCCTGTACCTAGCCCATACATTAGACATTCATTAGATCATTTTGATCACTAATGAAGCTTTCAGGGGCTGACTACAAATTAATACCATATTAAGTGTAAAATTGTATACAATATTTCTCAGAATATTAAATATAGTCAATTTGTTACTTGTTCTAACTCTTACTACCAATAGACAGCAAGATAATTGCTGTTTTATCCTGGTATTAGCCACCGTTTTGTATTAGTAGGGGTGGGTGTGGGGGTGTGTGTATGTGTGTGTTTTAATAGCATTCCTACCCTGTACAGTGGAAACAGCTATTATTAGCTGATACTTTTATTGAGGAAGGTATGAGGGGGCTGAGTTTTTCCTCTGAAATACCATTAGTAATTGCAGTCTTTTTTGAGTTTAGTGGGTTTACCACTATAGGCTTATCTAATAGATTCAGAGAGTACAATCGGTTATTATAATTTCAAAAGATTTTTGCTAAGAATGGAGACTTTAGGTTAGAAATGAGGATGCACAGCAGTGCACATAAAACAAAAATGTGTTGCAGAAGTTAGTGTATCAAGAACTTTAAAAAAGGTAAAGTTTGACATTTAGAATAACTGAAACTATTTTTTTCTTCAGCTTCCAGCTGATCTTACCAAGATGCACCTCACAGACAACCCTCATCCACAAGTGACTCATGTGTCTTCTAGTCAGTCTGGCTGTAGCATTGCCAGTGACTCTGGGAGCAGCAGTTTATCTGATATCTATCAGGTAATACCTTAGAAGTCTTCATGCTGTGCATATGGCTTTTTTATTCTGCCAGGTATCCCTTGCTTGTGCCTTAGATGGTCACATATCTTTTAATTTGGGTATGAATTTCAAGCATAAGTCCTATGAAAAAATATGCTTTATATGCTGTTTCAAATTTGTAAGCCTAAGTAAATGTTTTGTCTTTTAAAAATGATTAAGTTTGGTCCAGCAATGGATATAGTGTTTGCTTTCATTTCTTTTATCTAGGTGAATCCATATTAATATATAATAATGCTTGGCTGGGTGCGGTGGCTCACGCCTATAATCCTAGCACTCTGGGAGGCTGAGGCGGGAGGATCGCTCTCAAGGTCAGGAGTTCGAAACCAGCCTGAGTAAGAGTGAAACCCCGTCTCTACTAGAAATAGAAAGAAATTAATTGGACAACTAAAAATATATAGAAAAAATTAGCCGGGCATGGTGGCGCATGCCTGTAGTCCCAGCTACTCAGGAGGTTGAGGCAGAAGGATCGCTTGAGCCCAGGAGTTTGAGGTTGCTGTGAGCTAGGCTGATGCTACGGCGCTCTAGCCCGGGCAACACAGTGAGACTCTGTCTCAAAAAAAACAACAAAGAAAAAGAAAAAAAAATACATATATATATATTGCTTGCTTTGGTTAAAAAAAGGTTATTGAAACAGCTGAACTTAAATTTATAAAAAGACAGATTTTTATTATAATGGATACATCTTCTGTAATTAGAAGTCATGAAGAAAATTACAGCTGCTTTTGCATTACAAAGCTTCTATTGTAGTATAATATGAATAGTAGCAAATTAAATAGTATATTTATAGATTTTTCCATTTTTAAAAACCCAGCAGGAACAATCTGTCAAACCTACTGAGCTCTTCAGTGATCCTTTTAATTGTAAGGAGAAGGCTCGAGGAAGACCCATAAACTGAGAGAATCCTCACACAATCCTGCTAAGATTGAACCCAAGTTAGGTTCAGGCGAGTGCAGTCTGTTTCCAGATCCAGATGATGGAACTTGTATGATGTTTGCTTTAGTATAAGATGTGGAGGACAGCTCCCCCAGGATGTGGTGCTTTATATCCTGGAGCCCAGTGGTTGATTTTATCAGAGATCATGGATATAGAACACTTTTAATAAAATAACTAGCGGATGCATGATATTGAGGGTTGGTTTGTTCAGGAATTCAAATGTACCATTTATTCCAGGGCTGTCTCATAGAAATTTAATGTGAACCACATATTTAATTTAAGTGAAAGGGGGCCAAGCGTGGTGGCTCACGCCTGTAATCCTAGCACTCTGGGAGGCTGAGGCGGGAGGATTGTTTGAGACCAGGAGTTCAAGACTAGCCTGAGCAAGAGCAAGACCCTGTCTCTACAGAAAATAGAAAGATTATCTGGGTGTGGTGGCGTCGGCCTTTGGTTCCGGCTACTCAGGAGGCTGAGGCAAGAGGATCACTTGAGCCCAGGAGTTTGAGGTTGTCTCAAGTTATGACAACACCACTGTGCTCTGCCTAGCCAGCAAAGCAAGACCCTGTCTCAAAAAAAAAAAGTAAAAGGAAATGTAAAATTACTTTTAGTAATTTATTTAGCACAATATATCCAAATATTATAATTTTAACATGTAATCAATGTCTTAACATTGATTATTATAAATGGATTACTTTGCATTCCTTTTTCATACTAAGTCTTCAAAAGCCAGAGTTTACAGCACATCTCAGTTCAGACTAACCATATTTCTAGTGCTAATAGCCACATGTGGCAAGTGGCTACCATATAGCACAACTCTGTAAAAGTAGTATCATCCTTGTCTGAGGAAAACATTTTAGACTGTGATTCTACAGAGTTACCCAGATTCGGGTATTTTGGAAAAACAGCCTTTTTCTTCTAAGGGAACTTTGGAGGCAGCAACAAGATGGAAAAAAGACAACTGCCATTTTTTAGTTTATATGTGGCTTTTCTCCATAAAAGTCATTGCTATGGGGATCTACATTTCCTGTTTTTTTTGCCATTTTACAGTATAGAGAACAAGGAATTCTGCCTATTCACCATTTTATAGTAGCCAGAAGAAAAGAATATTTTTTAAAAGTTAAAAACAGTGCAGTAGCTCTGGGGCCACTTACTATGTTCATGTAATTTTTGGGCTCCATGCATTCTGCCCCTCCCCAAAAGAAATATCTTGTATAAGTAAAAATTGTTGCACACCTCAGAATCCAAGTAGAGCTGTGGTTTCTCTGGACTCTGTTTTTCCACGAAAGGAATCCTGAGGAAGACTAACCCTGGATCATTGAAGTTCAGGGATTTGGCTGTAGATTTCTCTCAGGATGAGGGGTAGTATCTGGACCTTTCTAAGAGAGACTACATGGAGATGTTGTGTTGACAAATTATAGGAACCTGGTCTGACTGGGATATTTACATTTCTAAGCCAGATGTGATCTACTTTTTTGAACAAGGAGCAGTGCTCTGGGTCATTGTGCAAGAAGGGACCAAAGGATGGTACACAGGTGGAGATTAAGGTCACTTGGAAAGGCAGAATGCTTTACTGTGAAGTAGAAGATGATCTGTACACAAATGGTTCCTGTATCTTTGCAAAGATGCTGCAGGAGTTTCTGAAGCACTACACTTAATATTAGCATCTACAGATTGCCCACCTGTTAGCTAGCCAGCCTGAAGCTGGGACTGGAATATGCGTTACTGGTGGTGTTTGGAGGTATTCTGTTGCAGGACCATGGCCCTACATGTGCCTGTACTGCTCCCAACCTTCCGTGTGTTTTCTTTCCTTGGTAGCACTCTCTACAATGCATTCTACCTTATAAGAGATTAATTGTAAGATTGGACAGACTGTAGACAGGCATCCTTGCCAGTTCTGCATATTATAAGGTATTGAAGACAGCACCTTTTCTTACCCTGGCAACCTGAAAGTTACCATTGGCTCTCTTCCTCCAATCATTGCAGTCAGCACCAAATCTTCTCAGATCTGCCTCTTACATCATTAATTGTATGTATGTGTATGTGTGTTTTATGTTAACTTCTGTATAATTTACATGTAATAAAATTTGCTCTCTCTAGTATAGCTTACATCAAGACATAGAACATTTCCATCACCCTAGAAAGTACCCATATAACCCCTCTCCTGACCCCAGGCCCTTGGACACCGCCAGTCTCTTTTTCTGCCCTTACCATTTTGCTTTTTCTGTAAGGTCATATAAATGGGATCATATAGTTTAAACAAAAGATGATGGTATGAAACTTACAAATTAATAAGATAGAAGTGTTAATGGCTGGGCACGGTGGCTCACGCCTATAATCTCAACAACTTGGGAGGCCAGAGGATCACTTGAGGTCAGACCAGCCTGGGCAACGTAAGACGCCGTCTATTTAAGAAAATGAAAAAAATTAGCCGAGTGTGGTGGCGCATACCTGTAGTTCCATCTACTCAGGAGGCTGACATGAAAGGACCTCTTAAGCCCAGGAGTTCAAGTCTTCAGTTAGCTATGATTGCACCACTGTGCTTCAGCCTAGGCAACAGAGCAAGTCCCTGTCTCAAAAAAGATAAGTGTTAATGAATGTATGAAGAGTAAACAGATAAAAGTAACAAAAGTATTGAAATTCTAGAGCCAAAATAGGAACTCAGAAATTTAAAGGAGAAAGTTATGATAATGGCTGACATAAAAAATGTAAAATGTAAGATAAATTTTTAAAGAATGGCCAAAAAAGTAAAAATCCTCAAACTCTGATTTAACAGTTAATTTTAGAATAATAGCCAAAAGATAGTGATTTTAAAATAAATAAATATATATATACACATATCTACATACTTATATATTTTATATTCGTATACACAGAACGTAAATCTGAGTTCAGGAGCAACAATTGTTTACAATGTTTTTCTACTGGTGGTAAGTTTGTGGGTAATTTTTATTATGTTCTTTAAATGAACATTATTATTAATCTTGAGGGTATAAATAGAGTGTACAGTTAAAAATAAAAGTTGAAAAAAATGGTGTGGGAAAAGATTAAAGGAGTAATTACTAGAGGGTAAAAGGAATAAAAACGGAATAATAATAATGGGTTGGTAAAATAAACCCCCAAAATACAAGATTTCTAGAACTACAATTAAAACAAAAATTCATAGCTAAGGTAAATAATATCACCCAACCAAATTTTGTGTGTGTGTGTGTTCCAGTCAGATTCTCAGAACTTGAAGAAAAGTTATTAGTATTGGACCCTTGGTATTTGTCTTCACCTCAGGCTACCTCTGGAGTCCCTGTAAACCTAGGAATAACACCCTTTAGTTACAGGTGTTCATTGCCAACGTGTGTGTGTATCTTAGCCAGGAACAGTTGAAGTAATTGGTCTGGTTGTCTGAATTTAAGCATTTAAAAGATATTAAAAGTGAACACCTAGGCTGTAACAGTATAAGCAAAACATTGCAAAATGATACAAGTATTTTTAATTTGGTGAACTGGGGGGAAGAGAGAAGTGACTCATCCTAACAGCAGTTCTTAATAGGAAAACTGTTTACACCATTTTATATGGCCAACTGTGTGGCTGTATCCAATGCATTCCCTTCTTGAGGGTTTCCATGTCTTCTGGTTTGAAAATAAAAGCCCTTGGCTATCAACGAAACTTCAAAATAGGCCAGGTGCAGTGGCTCCTGCCTGTAATCCTAGCACTTTGGGAGGCCAGCTTAAGGCCAGCAGTTGGAGACCAGGCTGAGCAAGAGTGAGACCCCATCTGTACTAAAAATAGAAAAAATTAGCCAGGCATGGTGGTGCATGCTTTTGGTCCCAGCTTCTCAGGAGGCCAAGGCAGGAGGATCACTTGAGCCCAGGACTTTGAGGTTGTAGTGGGTCACTGCACTATAGCCCTGGCAACACAGTGAGACTGTCTCCAAAAAGGAAAAAAAAACTTCAGAATTTATCACAGTCTGACAGAAAAAAAAAGTCTGTGGTTCCAGTGTGAATGTTTCTAATCAGATTAGCTTTAAATGTAGCTAA